GACACAGTCTTGATGGTCACTCTCAGGAGGCACCGTGACATAAACGTCATGTACATGTACATAATAGTACTTCCTGAGCTGAACAGAGTGAGCACCAACCACAGCAGTAAACAGCACGCTAGGCCTTGACGGATTATGCTAGCATAATTTTTCGCATAATTCCTACCAAAATCGAATAATCGCATAATTCGAGGCAAATTGCATACGAATCGCATAAAATGGAATAATCCGCTTGTTCGCATCAAATTCCATACAGTTGTACAATGTTCTACAAGTACAAGTACAAGACTAGTAGATGCACCGGGAAGTCGTAGGTTTACGACTCCCTTGATAACATGTCCAGTCCGCTACAAGCAGTGACGGTCGTAGCTAGGTCGGACGGTGCGTTGACCCCGTTGAACTTTTGCTACTACAGTCAAACCTCGTTAGGACGAACTTCAAGGGACTGAGCAAATTTTTGTTTGTCTTATCGGGAGTTCTTCTTATCCAGATCTGACAAAAAATCGATATGCATATTAGGCCTTGACGGATTATGCTAATATTTTCGTGAAATTATGCTTTTCGCATTGCTGAAAAAATTGCAGAATTATGCTATTTTTATGCTAAAAGTTATACATATTATGCCGCATTATGCTCACATATGCTGCTAATGTATATGATGGTTCTGTGCAAAATAACAGGGGAATTGTTTTGTAGAGGGCGCTGTACTGTAGTAGCAAAAGTTCAACGGGGTCAACGCACCGTTCCACCTAGCTACGACCGTCACTGATTGTAGTGGACTGGACATGGTATTAAGGAGTCGTAAACCGACGACTTCCTGGTGCATCAACTTGTACTTGTACTTGTAGAACATGTAAATCTGTATGGAATTTGATGCGAACAGGCAGATTATTCCAATTTATGCGATTCGTATGCAATTTGCCTCGAATTATGCGATTATTCGATTTTGGTAGGAATTATGCGAAAAATTATGCTAGCATAATCCGTCAAGGCCTAATGATTAAAAATTTAATAAATAATAATAATAATAAAAATAATGCATATCATATGGATTGTATCATAAGTTACGTGAAGGTGCATCCTGTGGTACATGGGAAGCATTTCATTCTTAGCATAAGCCAGAAACAGGTAAGCACAATGACAATGTGCAATGAATCACAACTGTGCCGAAAGTTCGAACAACACACTGATTATTTGTTCAAAACACGCTTGAAAACAATTTGCACTGAACGTACAATATGGCCTCGACTATTGAAAAAAGGCAGCCAGCGCACGCGCACGCTCCCGGACTGAAAGTTCGTACTACATGTACATGTACATGACCACACTGATTTTGTTCAAATCACACTTGAAAATAGTTCGTCTTCGCGAAAGTTCGCTGTACAGAAGTTCGTCGTAAACGAATAATTTTGACTTGAATTGATTCCTGGCCAACCATAGGATTGGCCCAAGTTCGTACTAATGGAAAGTTCGCCTTATCAGTGTTCGTCCTAACGAGGTTTGACTGTAGTACTACAGTACAACGCCCTATACAAAAAATTCCCCTGTTATTTTGCACAGAACCATCATAATACATTAGCAGCATATGTGAGCATAATGCGGCATATTATGATAACTTTTAGCATAAAAATAGCATAATTCTGCAATTTTTTCAGCAATTCGAAAAGCATAATTTCACGAAAATACTACTACTAGCATGATCCGTCAAGGCCTACAGCACGCCACGAGGGCCATATTGACATACATATACATGACATGTACATATTGCATCATAATGGTGTGTTCAACTCACTATGACATAAACTTAGACACGCAAAAATCTTGCCCTACCCCAGAGATTACGTTTAGTATTCCGTCTGTCATACCGTGATGAACATTATAGTACGATCTCACCTGTAGCTGGTCGTTGTTCGTGCACAGACCTTGTTGAAAAACGTCACCCTGCTACTGCTAGTCCACCATGGTCCACGCACATGGGTGATTTCAGGATTATTGCCGCTGCCATGCTAGAACCGTACTTGAAGTCTGAAGCGAGAAGACAATTTGCTCACCATAGTGACGGTACTCGGGAGAGGCGTATGACGGTATGATACAACAGACAGGTTGGAATGTTGGTTTTCAGTTTTACGTGGCCCGACGGTGTGTCCGAGTGCATAAGATGCGAGCCAAGTGAGGGCGTTGAGAGGGTGCTGTGAACGATGTCACGTACAGTACCCTAAATTAAAACCTAAGTCAAGCTAAGATCTAGGATCCACGCACTCGTCCTTTACTAACAGTTTAGCATGCACAGTCATGTACACAATTGATGTACAAGTAGGTTGTCCGGCCCGAATCAGCATCTCCTCCACTGACCATGCTGACAGTGCGATAAGCGGGGGGGGGGGGGGGGGGGGAGGGGGGGGGGAGGGGTACGAGTTGAGAGGCACTTGACTGTCGGTGCACATGGTGCATGTGTGACAGTGCTGAGTTGCAGCTGCTGCATTGTACTATTCCAGTACTACTCAAAGGCACACAATGAAAACCGTGGGCAAATTCCGTTGTTACGCAGAGTTTCATGGCTGAACCAATCGTCAGACAACGAACGAGCACTTTCGCAGAACCTAAGCCTACTGCAGTACTGCCTCTATTCCAGTACTACTGCCTCTATTCCAGTACTACTGCCTCTATTCCAGTACTACTACTACTACTACTACTACTACTGCTGTACTGCCTCTATTCCAGTACTACTGCCTCTATTCCAGTACTACTACTACTACTACTACTACTACTACTACTACTACTACTACTACTACTACTACTACTACTACTACTACTGCTGTACTGCCTCTATTCCAGTACTACTGCCTCTATTCCAGTACTACTACTACTACTACTACTACTACTACTACTACTACTACTACTACTGCTGTACTGCCTCTATTCCAGTACTACTGCCTCTATTCCAGTACTACTACTACTACTACTACTACTACTACTACTACTACTGCTGTACTGCCTCTATTCCAGTACTACTGCCTCTATTCCAGTACTACTGCCTCTATTCCAGTACTACTACTACTACTACTACTACTACTACTACTGCTGTACTGCCTCTATTCCAGTACTACTGTAGTATGTAGAGCTATCCCACATGATACCAAGAGTGGCAAGAGTCACTTGAACTTGAAGAGTGATCATTCTTTTGGCACAAGTTATGCGTAGTGAACATAGTCAGGAGATGTTGTCTGATGATATGTGGCCTATGATCATAGGGAAGGCCTAGTAGTGAACATAGTACTTCAAAGTAGTTTTTGCTCACGACTTCACACCTTTGTCGTGATGCGACCTACGAAGTACTTGTACAATGTACATTGTAGTTGTACATGTTATGTATGGTACATGTACAAGCATATTCCCGCAGACTACATGTATCTCCGACTGTTCTATAACAGTTACGATGAAATAACTTTAATAATACTTCATCGTTTAGAAATTAGAATAGTCCCGGCAGCTATAATCACTTTCGGCTACTGCTATAGTATAGAAAAGAAAAAGGATCAAGGAAGTACAAGTTACGCTATAATGGCCACTACCACCGCCAACTACAAAACAATCAGCTCATGCGATGACATTGCACGACATGTTTTCTTTTCTATAAATGAATTTTATCTCTCCATCCGAGTCCATACTATAGTATTGCCTTGTCATTGTTGCCCTCGAAGAATAAATACCTTTTAGCGACTTTGCACAAGGGGTGTGCGGATAATGCTCGAAAAGGTGGCAGATTCTGCACGAAAAGCAGTGAAATTGGCAGAACCATACAAACTTTATGGCAGGCAATTCCTCGAAATCTGCTCCATTTCTTTATCCACATACCAAACATGCATGAAACTTACCAGAAAAAGTACCGAAATCTGCCAGTTTTTCTGCCGGCATTATCCGCATATGCCTGCCTGTGGCAATATAAGTATTTCTAGCACTCTGTTATTTTGCTGTATGATGTTCGCTTCTATACTTAGTCATGATTTTGATTTTCCGTAGAAGCTGAAAGCAGAATTCAGTGTCACTATTGCCGCAATCTACTATGTAGATTGTAGTACATGACGGAAGAGCTACCTCCTGCTGACGTACGGTATCCCGCGTGTTTGGTAGTCGTTTAAGCACCGATCTGAGAGGTGATTACAGTCAACTTGGCTAATAACGACTGCAGCGGATATAACGACAATTCGCGAATAACGACGGAATTTCCATGCCCAGAGCAAAGTCCCATCCCACTGTAATACATATAATGAGACTTCGGGTATAACGACACTTCGCGGATAAGGACACCTTTTTGATGCCCCGCCGATTGTCGTTAAAAGCGAAGTGGACTGTAGTTGGATTTCATAATAGTTAATGCTGGGGGGGATTAGACTACTAGTACTGTAGTACATGTGTACATGGTAATGCCACCCTCTGACTCTGAGGGAACACACAAACAACCAAAGTAACTGACAAACCAACCAACCAAGCGACAATTCCAATGTCTTATGATAGAGATATGCAGACTAGAGGCACGGCTGGTTGCTACGCAACTCGACATGATAGTACTGAAGTAAAACCTCTAGCTCGTAAGGAAAACATATTTTATGCAACCCATCAACCAAACTCATTAAGAACATAGAAGCAGTTGATAAACTGCAACGAATAGCATTCCATTACAATCCAAGTGGATCAATTTAGGCGGATCAATATGGAACACGAGCAGACTGCAGACAGAACTGAGAAATATTAGAGCATTGGCAATACAATACTTGTTCACAAACTCCAGTTCCAGGGCTTGAAAGATTACAGCTTCTCAGCTGGTCCAACCATAATCACAGAGTACTGCAGATCGTGACTCTTCTCTGACACTATAACAAGTAAATTCTTAGAGAAAAGCGATGCCTCTTGGCACACAGTCATATTCAATACGAACTGTACCATGTACCACCTTACTCGGATAGTGGTAGGGTTGTACAGTAAAACCTGTCAAGGCGACCACCTGTCCCAGAAGACCACTGAAACCAGCACCAAGAGATGCTATTTCCAGTCAAATGACCCTGCATAAGGAGACCACCTGGTAACAGAGACCACGTTTTGAAGGTCCCATGAGCGGACGTCTTAGACAGGTTCCACTGTTTTGACTACTGTAGAATAAAATGAAACATGGCTAATACATGTAGCAAAAGCTCAACGACTGAGCGGCAGCAACTCTGTATCTCGGTGGATTTCACTGCTTTTAGTATCAGCTAGCTGATCACCTGTCATGCTTCTGCTGAAACCACTTCTCAATGTAGACACTAAACGGCTACCCCATTTTATTACGACTAGAATACCTACAAAGCCAATGTACACAAATCCAATGATGGTGAAAGCTGCTGGAAAGCCTAGCGCAGCAACCAGAGGACTTGTTAAAAGCGGACCCACTATGAAGCCAACGCCGATGAATATACGAAAAAGACCGACTACGGCCACGCGAGTTTCTGAAACTGTACCCATGCCGATGTCCTGCAAGTAGTGGGAGATTACAAACGGACAGGATACATTCATTAGGACATGACCGATACTGAGAGGAAACATCGACACAAACACCAATGCCAACGATTGGGACAACTTTGTAAATGCCGATGGGCCCACGAGGAAACAGCCGAGTGAGATCAAGGCCAAGCCAAACAGGATCAACACATAGCCGCTGACATTGCGATCCAGCAGGTATCCAACTAGCGGTGCAAGCGGAGCATTAAGCACAATCAGCAATGCCAGCGCAGAACCAGGCACAACAGAGCCTACGTCAAACGCGGTCTTGACCTTCACCGATAGAGTGGCCTCACACGCACTACCAGCAATGTTAGTCGCAATTGTCAGGCCAATCAGAAACCAAATCCATGGCAGTCGCAGTATTGAAAACATTCCAATATGCTTCTCCATGACGCCTGTGTGCTGATCAGCCAACATGTCAATATCCACAACAACAAGCACAACACATAGTGATACCAGCAAGGTGAAAGAACCGATCACAATAAATGGCAACATGAAACCGCCAATGTCATGCAAGCCGCCGGCAAGTAAGTTACCGACAGAGTGACCCGTTGCCAGACTTGACAGCGAACAGCTGCTCACGAAACCTAAGCTGTCCGGGTACATTCTCGTCAGGTAGGTCATGCCGGGAATAGTTATTGCCATATACGCACAGCCCTTGACGAGCTCAAGTATGTAAGAGTAGACTAGAAACACGCGCCAGTCCGAGATGCGATTCAACGCGGAGAACAGAACCGTGGCGGAGCCTTGCAGTATCAACGCCAACAACATCATGTGCTTACTGCCCATGTTAGGCAGATCATAGATGACGAATGGCGCGCATGCCACCACGGACGCAGCCGACATACTGAACACGCCGCCGACCGCAGTGTGGTATGACAAACCACCTGTTGGGTGCTTGGCCAGGGCATCGGTGAAGAAGAACGGTTTGATCGCCGTCAGGTTCAGCGGCGCACAAGCCATTGCCAGCCACATGCAAAGCACAATCGCGGCTCTCCGTAGCCGGGAGAGTTTTTCGGCTGCTGAACTGCTAGCCACGTTCTCATCCATGCTGTTCTGAGTGCGTGTGCTGTTGTGTGGTGGCAGAAGTATGCTGTTGCCAGTGTTGGTGCAATCCTCAACGTGTTTGGTCATCGCTTTGTTGGACATTGCGGCACTTGTGAAGTTGGGCTGCTGTCTACGCCACTGGACTCATCAACTGCTCTGGACGCTGGTTGACACGCTGAGGCTGCATGAAACAACACACGGCCACGCACACACATGCACACACACAAGCACGTATACACACACACGTACGCATATACGCAAGCACGCATGTATGTACGCATACACACATGAACACAATCACACACACACACACACGGAATAGAGTATGTTTCACAAGGTAATTACATAGCACAGTAAAATCTGTCAAGGCGACCACTCGGAAAAGGCGACCACCTGTCCCAGAAGACCACTGAAACCAGCACCAAGAGATGCTATTTCCAGTCAAATGACCCTGGATAAGGAGACCACCTGGTAACAGAGACCACGTTTTGAAGGTCCCATGAGCGGTCGTCTTCGACAGGTTCCACTGTATCAATATGATTGCATGACCTGCAGTTCCAGTCTAGTGCTAACTCATCAACGCATGTCAATCATTATAATCATTATGACATCATTTGGATCACAAGGTGCGTGGTAACGGGTTTCCATGGCGGAATCAAACTGATGAATCAAAGACACAATACGCATGCACTTGTTGGCTGATTGGAGGGGATTTTCCGGAAACGTTTGACAAACGTTACCTGGAGTTTCGTTGGTGATTAAAAACAGCAGGATTCTAGACAGGAAATATTTGTAGGGGCTGGGGGAAGGGAAAATAAACAGTCCACCTATGTTTTCTATGTTTTCTGTGTTCTACCTTGTCACACAGATTACAGCGTACGGGCGCAGCGAGGACCCGGAACGATCGATTAGTGGCCGCGTTTTCGTTGTGGGAACTGGAAAATCCCAGATTAGAAAATGAGAAGGGTGGTGCGCTTTCAGAGAAGGGGCCCCTGCCCCCCCCCCCCCTTCCCCCCCCCCCCGACTTCGACTAGAACTCTGCTAACAGCCTAAACTAACTGATCATCCTACGATACACGTACAAAGTTCAGGTCTAGTAACCATGGTAACTAGTACTTAGGCCGACGTACATGTAGATCAACAATTTCTGCGTGGGGATATGAAACCAAAGCAGGGATTGGCTAGCTAGCTCAAACACTAAGATCAGAAAACACACACACCCCAGGTTCGTAATCATGTGTGTGCGTGCGTGCGTGTGTGTGTGGCTGTGTGTGTGTGTGTGTGTGTGTGTGTGTGTGTGTGTGTGTGTGTGTGTGTGTGTGGCTGTGTATGTGCGTGTGTGTGGCTGTGTGTGTGCGTGCGTGCGTGCACGTGTACAGAATATTGGAGGCTGCCGCTATTGAATTATGGTGTCTACGAACATAATTATAATTTTTGTAATTAGCTAGCTCCTCACCTGAGCGAGTGCAGTGATGGCGTGCACATGAATGCATGCAGCGCCGCCTGTACCGTCGCCTACTGTACTGTCACCTACTGTGCTCGCAGACAAGTAATCACGTGGTGGTCCAGGTTACTGTCTACAACATTGCTGATAATAAATAAACCGTATAATATTCCGTAGTTATCTCTACTCGCGATGATCGATGGCCAATACAGAGGAACTAATAATTATTACTTCCGTCTTCGGCTGCTCAAACTCAAAAAAATCTGCCTGTGTCCGGCCACGTGGTCGTCAGTGTTCCTGCGTGCACGACATCTTGGTCGCGCACATCTGCTCGTCCAAGGCAAATGGACTAGTGCAGGATGAGAGCGTGAGCATCACACATCTGCTGCATGCTAGCCGGCGTTGAGCACAAACACTAAGGAGGGCTGAATGTAGTCTGAACTGAACAAAATACTAGTTTGCTAACGCGAGACAGCAGAGATAAGAGGGGCAAATTAAAAACTCTAAAACATATTGTTGTCTTGATTGCTTTCACTTTGTGCACTCTATTAAATTTTGTCGCTTCTCACATGCATAATGCTCATATTCCGGCATTCCTGCGTAGAGCACGCGACCGAGATGCAAAAAACGCGCTTTTCAAGCTTCATGAATCATACCTAATGCTGTCTGTACTAGGTCTACCTGGGTCGTCCGGAAACGGCCATAGCACAGGAATCGGACACTTGCCAGGAGGCCCGACATCCCGACGGTGTTTCAGAGCGGCAACAATGAAGACAGGTGCCCCGTGATGACTATTGTGGCGCTGGACAATCATTACAGTGACATTGTACATGTGGTTTGTTATGTGGCCATTAGCCTGATTAGGCGTTGAGGTCACTTGTTTGTGTGTGGGTTTAATAGTATCCACAGAAAGTACCTGTATGACTGTAGAGGACTGGCCATGTCATGAGTAATGTACACGTACACGTAGGATGCAGTGTTGATATGTACAACAGCCATTTAGGGGCCGTCCGTAAATATCGAACTTTTTTCACCAAACGAATTATTTTAGTTTAGACCCAACCCCTCCCTCCCTCCCCCTCAGAACGTAAAAATTGTTGACATATACATGCATATACAACAAAAGTCGCAAGTGTGTCATTGCTCATATGGCCATGTACATGTACTTGTATCGAACTTTTCTGAAACGAAATTGGTCAACCCCCTCCCACCCCATAACGAAATTATTTCGTTTTGTGAAAAAAGTTCGATAATTATGGACGACCCCTTACTGGACAGTGACCTACATGTACATGTACTTTGCTCGAAAAAGTGGCAGATTCTGCTCGAAAGGCAGTGAAATTGGCAGAACATTACATACCTTATGGCAGCCACTTCCTTGAAATCTGCTCCAGTTCTTGACTTAGTTTTTCTTCACAGACTTGAGCAAGTAGCCCTTGGTGGATAACGCCGGTAGAAACAGCTGGCAGAATTGTGTACCTCTCCAGGTATGTTTTATGCATGTTTGGTACATGTGGATAAAGTCAAGAAATGGAGGAGGAAGTGGCTGCCGAAAGGTTTGTATGGTTCTGCCAATTTGGCTGCCTTTCGAGCAGGATTTGCCGATTTTTCGAGCAACATCCGCCAAGGTCTGCAGTGGCCAGTGAGGTCAGGTCAGTTGGCATTGGCGGATAATGCTCGAAAAGGTGGCAGATTCTGCTCGAAAAGCAGTGAAATTGGCAGAACCATACAAACCTTATGGCGGGCAATTCCTCGAATTCTGCTCCATTTCTTTATCCACATACCAAACATGCATGAAACTTACCAGAAAAAGTACCGAATTCTGCCAATTTTTCTGCCGGCAGAATCCGCCGGACCCTACTGCTCTGTACACTTTGTGCATTGAGCACTCTACCTCGAGCTGCCTAGAGCGGCCCTGTTTGTATCCATGTCCATGTACATGTATGCTCTGTACTAGATTGTACATTAAACAGTAACCAGGCATAATCATTGTGTGGTCCACGAATGCAAACCTACTCCTGAACCCTACTTCCCCTCGCCTACTGCCTGGCTTCCGCATATCCACAACAACACTGACACAATGACAGTGGGCCATGCATCGTCCCTCAACCTTGTTCATCCGATCTCCAGCCGCCTCACCCACTCCATGGATGGCCTGGGCTGCTAGCTGCGAGTGTGAAGCAACAGGTTCTAGCCAGCCTGCCTGGCGGATGTCAGAAGCGGCCGCTCTCTGGACGACGCCCTTGTCGGGCCTTGAGCACTGATTCCTTGCTGTGTCAGAGCTAGCCCTGGTGGCAGGAGCAGGTTGTAGGCTCAACACCGCTGACGATGTACCGATTAGCGATACTACCCTTCTTGAACAAGTCATCCAGTTCGCCTGTGGTGTGCATGTCCAAATCAATTTCAGTATGCACTTGTATGTTATAAGCATCTAGGCATCCACCGATCTTTGCATCCTTACCGGCCATGCAGAAGCACGGAAAGAAAGTGCAAGCATGGAGACTTAGAGGACGGAGTGCGGTCGAAACTGAAGGTGACCCCCATGTATACTACGACCCTGCAATGACTATGTCCAATGAGTCAGCCCGGGTGGTAACACCGCCTTTACCATTAGCCACTAGCCCGCGTTACTCTGTGGTATAATTATGCAATGCACGCATGCCTGAGTTTGGCTAGCCTGGAATGGAGAGTGGAGGAGCGAGAGCGGGCCAGGTAAAGGCACACACGCAGTTACAGACCATACCACACAGCCACATGCAGAGTTGCACAATCATGTTCTCAATGCCACTGTCTGTTGGATGGGGCTGCAGGCTCCTCCAGCCCGGCAAACAGGGTTTTGGACTGGAGGTGTATATCTGTGCTCATGTACTGGACGGTGGGTGACAGGGTGTGCTATCCCAGTACTACTAATGACTTCACTTGTCTGTTATGTGCTTGTACCAGTGTACGCACATCTCAACAGAGGGCGGTGCAGTATATACTGTAGGCGCTGCTAGACCATGCAATATGATGCATAGACTGACACAGTGAAGTCAGCCAGGCAGGTGGGGCTCTGGCACTTCACGGTCAGTTTCAGGGCGTGTACGAATCGAACTTGTATGCTTGCTGCATGCACTGTTGGCGCGATGGAACTCGCGCATCACACACTCCGTCACCCTTGTGTGTCAACACTTTGGGCCAGGGCAAGGGAAGACACAAGTTTTCCACTCCAAAGAAGATCTTTCGTGTCAGTGAACTTAGCTAGATAAGGAGAGATCTGAAGAACCAAGCATTATCTAAGGGAAGGAGGACTACTGATTCGAAAGCGCAGTGGAGTTTGCACTGTATACTGTTCGATTGGCACGCTGTCAGTGTGGAGGTTTGCCTCGTGTTTAGTACGTGTCATCAACCACAGGGACCACGAGAATGTCTGTAGTCGTGGTGGACGCCATTGCGCCCAGCTCTCCCACACCAGAGGAGCTGAATGCTGCCGTCCCCGGAGGTAAGACTTATGTAGGTATCACCAAGGGTATAGTAGCACTGTTAAACTGCATTTGCCTTAGTGTCATTCTCAAGGACATAACTTCAAGGTCCTTACTTATCGATGATATGGCGAGCTCCATATGCCAATGCCCCTTGAGTGCCACACACCTGATGTATGCAGAAAAGGTTCATTTTCTTTCCTAACGTAGTCATGTTGTGCTTATTACAACACATGCGTTTGCACACACACGCACGCGTGCACGTACGCACAAACACATAAAGACATGCGTGGATCTACACACGCACACTCGACATGACCCTCAGTCTTGGAACCTTTCAGAACATGCGACGAAGAGCAAACGTGACCGCATGTATACCATTTACATGTATGGCTGGGTCTACTGCGTTAGCACCTTGTTGTGGCGATGCATTTATGAACACAACGATACTCAATCTGCGGACAGAACTGTTTCGTCCTTTGTGGACTCATCAGCGCAGCACAGAGGAAATGAGGCCGAACCTGATAGCAATGAAAAATAAATTTTCCAAAGCCAGATTTAAACCAGGCCCGAACGTACCTTGCCAGAGTGCCCAAACTGACAAGTCAGTGAGCTCTGCATAAAGCAAACAGCAATGAACACAACGATAGATACCTTTTAAACATGTACATGTACGAGTACATTACATTGTTACCCGAGCGCAGAGAATCAATCTTATTATTTATTTATTTTAAGCGAGAAACGTCTTGACACTGCGTCCACTAGCCAGGAAGCCGGATCATCGTCATCAAATGTACGTACATGTTTGTACATTTGTGTACATATACTTCGTGAACACAATCCATGTGTTCAAAAATAGAAACTTCAAAGTACGTGTACACCTTCAAAGCTATTGTATAGACCCGACTTTACTCTTCTGCTCCATGCCAGCACACATGACGCGAAGGCCCTCGAGATAGTTGGTGACGGCAATCAGAAAAATCCCAGGCTGCAGTTTTCGCCTGTCTCAGACTTAGGTTTAGCTCTACCGCAATGCGATGCACGGGCGCCTATCATGCCAAGTCGGCGAGCAATACCATAGGATCATGTACACTGTATGCTTATACATGAAGCTTGGAGTGCGCAGCGGCCGCTCTACAAAGAGAAATCTGGCACGCCTTTACCCATCGGGGCTTGAAGGATTTTTTTAGAGCGCGAAAGTACGCTTTCGTTGCATTATTGGGTCCATCCCACGCAACTGCTGCCGTTAGCAGTTGGTGGGTGTGCACATTGTGCACTTTGTACATGCACCGGTACATGGAGAGACAGTGACGTTTTTAGTCGTCATGTGAGCTTTCTGCAATTATCAGTTACCGGTACCTTTGCTTGGCAGTATAGACGCGTCTGCAAAAAATGGTGGCTATCATAAAAAATGGTGGCTATCATAAAAAATGGTGGCTATCATAAAAAATGATGGCTATCATAAAAAATGATGGCTATCATAAAAAATGATGGCTATCATAAAAAATGATGGCTATCATAAAAAATGATGGCTATCATAAAAAATGGTGGCTATCATGACCGTGATGACTTCAAACCAGTTGCTACTGTTGTTTTCCGTATGATTTGCCCGGTTCAGTTTGGTACACTTCCAAGTACCACAGATTTTATTAGATGCGAATAGCTACATGTAGCTAGTCTGTGCTCTGGCTGTTATCTTCTTGAAATTGTAACTGGTAGACGTCGAAGAAGTCGGTGGAAAGAAAGTTCAGATGCGAACTTTGAGTCCCATTACACTACGGCGAGATATTGACCTGCAATTTCGAACCGATCGACTATCCCCGGACTCCGCTGCATCATGCATCCGCGGTGCACAACCTACCCTACGCTACTACTATCTGCTTGAGAACGGTTTTATTCACAACACCATGAATTAAGAGTCAAAGCAAAAAGACAACCCACTTTCGGAAATAAATAGAACACTCGATTGAAATATAAAATTGAACGCAAAAGCTTCACACGAAATCGTTACCTAATACGAATGCCTACCGGCATACAAAGGCGAAC